TAAAGACAAAAAGAAACTACTCAACTAAGAGTTTCTGAAATGTGCTTAATAAAACTACAATTATAATGATAATGTAAAGCATCTTCTTAATCCTTATGACATTTACAATAGAAAAAAGAGCCAAATATTTTGAGCATAGTAAGAGAAAATTACAAAGATTCAAATTCTACACTAATAACAAAAGTAATTTTTACTTTTTATTTTCAAATACTTAGAGTTTTCAAAGTCAAGCTCAGGAAAAGAGTTAGAAAAAAATTTACCAACCAACTTATCTAACCTTAATCGAATAAAATTGATTAATATTAAGATCTAAACTAAGCCATAAAAAGTATTTTTTTATAATGAAATTAAAAGAATTTATCAATTTATTTGCATCATGACAAGACTCATGTATAGGTTATTGAAATTTTAATTATTTTTAACTCACATTATTTATATGTAACTTCAAATTATGAATATGAACAAAATAAAATTTTTTACTGGACCTTTATTAATCCAATTAGAATGCTAAAAAAAAAGTTTTTTATTAATCAAATTTAAAAATGATACTTATCTTTTAAAATAATTACAACTTTTTATAAAAAAATTCTAGAAAGTTAAACATTTTTTTTGCAAATCATAAAAATGTTTTAGCTCATTGAATATTTATCTAAAATAATTTTGAATTTAATTACTTATTCATTAACTTTTACTTAAATATTTTGATTTTATTTTTTTATTTCTATTAGTTTTCTTAAATATTACAAAATATTAACTATATTTTATATTTTTAAATAGAAGAAATTATTACAAAATGAGTAAAAAAATATAGTAAAACTTATTCAGTTTCAATATATACATGTGAAAAATACTTATGATGATAAAATGTGACTGTTTGATGAATGATTTAAGATCTTGAAATAGATATTAGACTTTTTTTTTTATATTATTTTAGTATTTTTTAAAATAAATTATTAAAATAATATTCTTTTAAAATATTTTTTATTTGTAGCATTTTTGTTATGTTATTACTTTTGCTCGTTACATGTACAAATTTATTTATTTTTAATTAAAATAATATTATATACTAAAAAGATGATACTTTGAGATGATGATACATGCTAACATTTTAGCAAGTTTTGTCTATATAAAAGACAAAACTCATCTATATCACGTGTCTAAATAAAAGGCTAAGGCTCAAATTGGATGTAAGAGTTTTTAGATTTACACCAATTCTTACATATAATCTGAGCCTTTAATTTAACTTAAATCTAATGGTTAGTAACAGTTAGTAAAGTAATAAATTATAACCTGTTAGATTTAAGTTAAATGAAAGATTCAGATTAAATGTAAGAGTTTCTAGACTTACACCGATATAAGAAGATCCTTTCCTCTCTCTATATATATATCTTATAGTTCTTTTTATCCAAACATGTGTATATATACAATTCCTATATATTCCCTAGGGATGATATTTGGAACATAATTTAATAGGTAATTACCAAAAATATTTATAATAAAAAGAAAAAAATGCCTACTAGATTAATGAGTTATATGATTATTAATTTACAAAAATTTATAGAAATAAGTAAGGGCGTGGTTTACTACCCAATCCACTTCATACCCACATTTATTCAATATATTAGTAATTTTTAAATAAAAATATTATACTTACTTTCTTACCATTTATAATCACAAGTTGTAAATTTTATTTTAATGACTTAATCTTTACTTTAAAAACGATTTAATATTGTGATATTAAATCAAAAATCCTAACTTCTTGCTATTGTCATTTACCATCTTTATTTTTGTAGGTATACTACAATACTACTGCGCGATCATGCTTCAGATTCGTTAATCACAGAATATCAATAATCATTTATTTAAGAGCTTCATTTTTATAATTGACATGAAATAATATTTTTTTTATTTACCAAACGTGTAACTAATAAATCTAAGCATTAGAATTAAATATTCATAGGGTACATGGATGAATACTAATGTTATTATCCACGTGTACACAAGTTTAAGAAAAAAATATTTTTTCAAGCAAAGATATAAGTATTAATATTGTTTAGTATGGTTGATATTGGATTACAACCGTATTATTTTAGTATGAATGTTACAATGATTTATGCAATTGGAGTGTTTTAAAAATGCAGTCAGTAGATGTTACTATTATAAGAAATACTCTTACGTTGAAGTGAATAGAGAATTTTGCCAGAATTTTAGTAGAATGATTGCAATTTAAATACTTGTGTGCTAGGGAGGGACGGTGCGCGGTGGGGAATCTGCGAAATGATAAAATAACAACTTCAAATTTCAATAGCCATGCCCATGCCATTGGGGTGTCCCAATCTGAGCAGAGAATCTTATCAGTGTGGGTAATCAGAATAAATTAACTAAATAAATATCGGTTAATTTGTGGACAAATATAATTATAATGTATTCTATCTGTGCTTCGTAAGTAAAACCATAATAAAACAATAATATAATCATTAGTAACATTATATTAATGTTCAAATATTGTATAATTAAATTTTTATCAATTTCGTTATGGATATTTAGCAGAGCACGTAATAATAGGTGAACTCCCTAGACTGTTTCTTGAAAAATGTGAAATAAAGAATTGGAATTTGGACCACTGCCTATACGGTTTATAGTTCAATTCTCTCTCTCTCTCTCACTCTCTTTCTATCTCTATCTGTGCATTCATTTAGTTTTGGACAACACAGTCATCTTATGTTTAAGGGCATGTACCTCCTTTTTTGGCTGTTCACTGAACTGAACAAAATAAGCTTCCAGAATTTTTTAATAAAATACCATTGATTTATTGTAATTAAACGAACCCTTTAGAAATATATTAAATCTGCAGAAAAATTATCATAACTGAATATTCTCATGTATACTATAACATGCTGTTGTGCACCTTAAATTGGGAAAACGAAAATACATTTGATAGAAGAAGGGTGAAGATCTAACAACTTTAGTTCCAATACAAAGCGTTCCTTTAACTAGTCATTTGTGAAGCCCCATAATCACGTGGTATATGGCTTTGGCGTCATCTTGCGTGGTGCAATATGTTCCAACAAATGATGTGGCACATTAAAAAAATTATCGTGTCCAAATTGCAAGAGTAATGAATCGTTTGAATTATTTGTTTTGCAACGATCCTTCTATCGCTAAAAAATCCCGAGTTGGGCATCTCAACTCTTTCAGTATACACTAGTATAATGCAGGACACTCATTTCATTTTCAATCATTTTTTTTTATCCACAAATTGAAATGGCGTTGACGTTTAGTTATATATCTAATGGTCATGGATCTAAATATATGCACTTGATGGGGGCATGCAATGGCATTGTCCCTTGAGAAAGAAGTTGCACAGAGAAACACTTGGGATGGGATCATTATTAACTTTAGGTGGTGGAGTGGAGGGCACGGGTCTTGACAGTTTTTGTCAACCACAAGAAAGCTAAGAGAACAAATTAACATGGTAGATTATTGGCATCAAAAGTAAAAGCTAAGAAGAAAGAGAAGAAAGAGACTCTCATGTAATAAAGGCTGAAGGATATTTCAGAAAGGCAAAGGGACCCTAAGATGATATAACTATATATAAGGCTATCAATATATACATCATAAAAGGTAAAATAATTAAAACAAGGGAAAAGGGGGGCCATGTGGACATTGGAGAAGTTGATGTTTCCTCATCAAGAGGAAAAAAAAGGGAGGGGAGGGGGCTAGGAAGAAAAGGAAGAAAAGCCTTGGATTCTACGTTTCTCAAAGCATGAATTATCCATTTTATGGGACATGCGAGTGTTCAATATAGATATCATGTACCATGATGCCAATTGCCAAAGTTCAACGTCAATGGTCAATGTTGGTCATCCCTCATGTGCCTCCTAATAATGTCTATTTGTTAGCCTGTCGCTCTCATTTCTACATATCCTCTCTTCCCAACCTTTTTTGTTTTATTATTCTCTACCCACAACATGCTTCAAGTTTTTCGTCCCTTACCTTCATGAAAAAGAAGCTAATATGTTTAATCGCTTTACTTCTACAGTGTAACCTTTTCTTTCATGCACACACATCACACTGATTCAATAGTAAGTTTCAATTAATTAAGTGGCTGAGAGCTTGAATACATACGAAACTTGAACCTATACAAACCCAATTTCATCACTGCAAATCAGATTAATCTCTCACTTAGCTAGTAATTATGACACAAGCAAATATAATCATAAAAATGGAAATATGCAATAAATATACATCACACTGATTAATAGTAAGCTTGCATTAGGTGGCTCAGAGCCCGAATAAAAACTAGAGTGTTACCTATATAAACCCAATTTCATCACTCCAAATCACATTAATCTCTAAACAGAGAGGAATAATATATATGTATATATTGCTTTTTAAAAGTGCGTTTAAAATCAAGTAATAAAAAATTTATGTATCGTAATTTTTTATAAAAATAATAAAATATAACACGATTCAATCCATTAATAATATTAAATATTAATTTTTAATAAAAAATTACTATTTCTTAATTTCTTGACATATATGTCTTTAGACATATGTTAAAAAAATTGTGTATAAGAGTAAATCTTGATTAACTTGTTCTGCTTAATAATTTTGTACATACAACAAATTTTATTTATCAAAATATTGATTTAAAAGTGGTTATTAAGTTTATAAGTTTACAAAATTTTACAAAAATTTTATGAAATAATTTATGGTTCAAATTTGGCAAAAAAATATTAGAGGCCCAACGTTATTTGTTGGATCATGGCCTTATTTGTTTATGGTCCATATTGGATCATGATCTGTGATTAGAGTTTCAGGCTTTCCCAACTATGGGCTTCACAACTAAAAACAGAAAGTGATGGGATAAAATTTGATGGCATTTAACCAAAAAATAAAATAAAATTGATAAGCTGAGTTCAGCTAAGGAGTTGAAATGCATGGTCATGACAATGCATAGCCACGTGGAAGTGGGACAATGACTATGTGGTCGTTACTGCCACTGGTTGTGGTTGGATGATGTCCTTCTGCTATTGTTGGGAGTTTCACTGCGTCACTTCTCATTCTAAACGATTCCTTTTCAGTTCAGATACCAGAAAACGGAATTGAAGGGAGTGAGAAATGACACTAGCTCCTGCTCTTTCTATCCCTATCTTCCATTCTTCCTTTCTTTGTTGCCCTCTAAAACTTAAATCTTTCTCTCTCTCTTCCTGCAACCCATCATCATCAGGAAATAGAATTCAACCAAAACCCACATCTTATCCACGCATTAGAGCTCTGGACCTTGATCAAAACACGGTTTTCCTTCTATTTCTTCATATTTACTCATTTGTTTATGAATAATGCATTAAGGGTATCTTTCCTTTTGTTGTTTTAATGAGATTAAATTATTGCATTACAAATGTTTTACAGGTATTGGCTATAACTGTTGGTGTTGTCAGTGTGGCTGTGGGGATTGGCATTCCAGTGTTCTATGAAACCCAAATTGATAATGCTGTGAAGTGTTTATACTTTACACTATACCATTTATCTTATTTATTCATTATGTCATCAAATGTTTTGGTATTTCTAGTGGGGTTTTGATTACAACTTCTCTTTATTGCAGGCTAAGCGAGAAAACACACAGCCATGCTTCCCATGCGAGGGATCTGGTGCTCGTAAGTATTATCATTTGTTTTTCTATTGTTCATAGAATCATAATTTATACATGATGCTCGGACACTATAGGGAAAATTTTCTATGTGCAGCATTTCTAAGGCATATATCACAAGAGAGCAAATATGAAAACAATAATAATAAAATTTATTAAAATAAGCTAAAAATAGCTTATTAGAATTATAAACTTTATAAGCCCAAATAAGCTTTGTAGAGGTTCTTTCAGACGCCCCCTGAATCAAAAGAGGTGGAGGCATTCACTTGCCTAGAAATTTAAATTAGTTGCAGCTTTTATGAGACCCCCAAATGTGGTCTGGAGGAAGGGCTGTGGAATAGGGGGATTGAAATGGAGAGCATCTGTGGGGATTGAGCCTCGCAATTCGGATTCCCATTGCATGTCCATAGCTCTGCCTACTAAATTGATTAGACAAATATTTATTCCAATGAGACAAAATCTCATTCATTACCCTCAATTCCAAAACTAATATAATAGGTTTTGAATGCTTGTGAGGATGCCAAATTGAACCTGTTCAATTTGTGCTTTACATAAGGTTGTAAATATAATCAGTTCAACTCCACATAAGGCAAGTATGCTTGATTATATACAGTTGCAGTCTACGCGTAATAATTATTTCCTAGAGATATACGTCTTTTTTCAGTGCTACGGTGTCTTCCACAAGTAGCTTTAAATTTCATAAGTGAGTGTGTTAGTGAAAATTTACAATCAATTAATATTGTACAACATATGAATGGAAAAGGGAAACAACTCAACTGAACAGAATTAATAAGATTGAAGAAGAGAAAAAAATCGCTAGTTATAACAACTTGATTGTCACAGCACTCCAGCAAGCCAGGGGGTATGTTATTCCATATATTTACCAGTTTAAACTTCTTGCCTTTATAACTGATAATTCAATTGTTTATAGTTTTTTGGTCAATCTCGATTGAAATTGTTACACTTATGCCAGAGAAATGCAGATTTTGTTTGGGAACTGGCAATGTGACAGTAGAACTTGGTGGGGGTGAGAAGGACGTATCTAGATGCATAAATTGTGATGGCGTTGGTTCATTGACATGCACAACTTGTCAAGGATCTGGAATTCAACCTCGTTACCTTGACCGTAGGTACGGAGTTTTTTATGCCTACCATGACAAATTTTCCAATCAAAACTCATTTTGCAATATGAATAAGGCTGCAAGGCATGGCTCAGCTTGTAAGAGGCTAAGAGAATCAACGATTTTGAGAAATCTTAAATTACTACATCACATAACTTTCTTCAAAAAATACTTAAGCTTTGCCTAGATTAGTGTATATTATAGTAAAGTCACTAATCACTTCTGGCAATCGTGTTCAAGTCTTCTCTCTCGTATCATTAACCATGGTTTGTTGTTTGATATTGATCAGAGAATTTAAAGATGACGACTGAGACAAGCTAAGAATAAGTGGTGCTGATTTTGGATTCAATTATGAGGTTATTGTACTCGTTTAATTTCGTTGATCTGTGTACGCACCTAATCCAACTGTCAAAATCACGTTGATAGTTTCATTTGGTTTACATTTTAATCAGTGTCATAAGGCCACTCACTCACTTTCATTGCCTATCTGTATAAAATTGAAGTTTTTAGGCATTAGCTAACTTTATGCAATTATTCATTGTCCTGTTGTATGCATTGGATTTTGTTGGGTATCTAGCCCCAATACTATGCCTGAACTATTATCATTGGTGTTATTTCTGTTCGTTTATAGGACTTCACTATCTTGAATAACTGACATATACTGTTTATCAATAATAGAAGCATAATTTCCTCCAAAAATAAAAGATAACAGAAGCACAATAAACTCTAGTGGAGGGCTAGGATGAGTAGCTTAAGTAGTTTACAAGTCGTTGTAGGTTCAAATTTTTATACCCAATGTAACAAAGATACTGAAGGCATAATTAATCTCTGAAGTTAGATGTCTCTCTATGGTATGGCCCTGCTAGATGCCATGATTGTTTTCCTTTTGACTGCTGAAAGTGTTAAAGTGATGATGATTAAGGATAGTTTTCAGTTTTGATTCAGTGCTTGACATTTTGCTTCAAGGAGCTCCAAGAATGAAATCTCAAATCAAGTTCCTCCTCATCAGTGATAGATTTTGCTAGTATGGAGTTCGTAGGCTTACCTGGTTTATACTTTTGCTCAATGTTAAACCTTGGCAAACTATTCTTTTACATAAAACGCGGTGCAGTTTATGACTAGGGGAACCTTTTAGTTTAAATGAACGGAGGAGAGGAATTTTCATGGGGGAAGGGAAGGAGAGGAGAGGAGAGGAGAGGAGTTTTAATGGATGAATGTAAAAGAAACTCACATTACATTTTTTGAGGCATGCATGTTAAAGGTTATTATTACCAAAGGAAAGGTGATTTGTATGATCCACTGATACTAGTTTTGAGCGAACATAAACAGTTATTTTTTTTTATCAGCTGAATGAAGTCAATGGTACAACAGATGTCTTCTCAATTATGTCACACCCTTGTAATTACAAACTATTTTTGAAAGAAAATCTTCTGCAAACTGCCTTCACCTTCTGTTTGGAATGCTTTAAAATTGAAGAGAATATCAATACCAAAACTACGTTTTATTCAACTAGCTAAGGTTTGCTATATACAATGTCATTGAGTTTGATCTTTATCTTAACAATTTTCTTTAAGATTCTTCTTAGAAAATTAAAGATGATATATTTAAAATAAAATGATTTATAAAATCAGGAAGTGATTTGGTTAATAAATTTATTACAAAATAATTTTAAAAAACGGATTGAATTATAATTTCAAAAATGAATTGAATTCTTAAACTAATATCATTTTGAATAAGTTGTTCCCTGTGAGAATTTTGCTCACGGTCATAGAAATGTTAAATCTGTTCACACTCCAAATTAATAGGACATGTTTAGGACCCCATGAAAACATGTATCATATTGCTGCATAAGGAAAGTGCGAGTGTAATGAAGATTGCAAGCTTCATTCACACTTTCATCAAACATTTGTTTATTTTTATCAAGAGTTAAAATGGTTTGTATAATCATATCAAGAGAGATGCAAATTAAATGGTTTGTAAAAATCATATCTGAAGAAATAACTACGAAAATGGAAGTCCAGATGCCTAAACGTTGTAAGAGCTAAAACGGGATTACTTACAGCAAGACAAAAAGAAGGGAATACTATACGTTGTTTTTATGACTATGTAATTACAGCAAACTTCAAAATGGCTTAAATATATTCTAACTGAAGGGACTTTTACTGCACTTTCCTTGTAACCATGTCAGTCGTATCTTGACACTTTTTAAAGAAATGAATGTCTCCCTTAAATTAGGGTCCTCCTCAAAGAGGTCCAGTGCTGAAAAGTATAGCTGTTGATCAATGTCTTCTATCTCATCCAGAGCCCTAATGCAGTTTGTAATGGAAAATTTATCATCTACACTTGAAACAACCGCCCTTAACCTTGAAACAGCAACCATATCGAACAAGGCTTCTGCCATAGCATTGCAGGCGTCTTGATCCAGACTAGTAGTTTGCGTTTCATAAGGCCGTTTCCTCTTCCTATCTAGAGAATTCTTGGTCACCTTCTCTGCAGTTGAGATATTCCCTGGAATAGATTTTGATGTTGATGGATTTTCACAATGCGAGACCTTAGCTTCTGGACATGAAGCAAAGCCGGTGGCATCTATTCCAATAGATTTGTCTAACTCTTCATAATGACTAGATTGGGCATATTTGCCATCAGCAGCTGAATCTATGAATATAGTGCAGAGCTGCTCATATATTGGACAATCTTTCACTTTAACTGTCTCATGCCTAGGCTGCGCCTGTACACCAAACCTAACAAAATTCAGATTGAGAATAAAGAAAAGAAAAAGATTGCTATAATGTAAGGAATTTACCCCTAGGTCTTCCCACTGGTCAAAGCCTATGCAACAGGAATCATCTATTACAAAGTCATTATTTTGATCATAAGCGGATTTCAAATTATAGAAGCGTGTCCGAAGAACATCTAGATGCTTCCTCAATTGATTATTATTGAAATTAAGATCTGTTTGCCTATTGAACTCATCACGAATGTGATTCCATGTTTTCTTGTCAAAAACATTGTTTGGTCTGTTCCCCAGTTGAATCTGCTTGACAACCAAGTCTGCAAATATCTTGTCAAGAGATGCTGTCCATCTTGTCCTTGAACGCTCTTGCTTGGGTTGATTATTGGGTTCAAGATCCATCTACACCAGCACAAATGCTTATAATTCAATAATTTTTTCAATAACATTCCATAAAAAAACCTCTTGAACTGATTTTTGTAAAAACTAAGAAAAAGTAAAAGAGCCAAGGCTAAGCTTATACTTCACAGATCAACTAGTTCATTTTTATAAATAGTGTCACAATTATCCCATAGCGCACCACGACAAGAGAGGCAGCAACAGTGTACACAAAAGTTGCCAACAAATTTTATTAGAAAAGGAAAAATTGGGGAAAACCTCAGTTTTTTTTGAAGGAAAATAATAAAGACTAATAAGTCAGTCATGGAGGATTCAAGAGTTATGTGTAGGAAAAAGTGAGGACTTCAACTCCACTGGATCAGTACAGCATCAGTTTAACAATGTTACACTAAATCTAATTGTACAAGAAAAAAGGCTTCATGTTTTTGTTCTTTCGACTTCTCTCCTTATTTTTTTCCCCTGTTTTCTTATTCATAGTATGAATCACCACACTACATAAATAGAAAAAAAGAAGATAAGAGACAAGATGACATCAGTTAACATGAAAAAGACATCCAACATCCAATATAAAAATGACACCACAAAATAGAAATAAAACCATAAAAATTTAATTGAAAACAACATAGACAAACAAAGAAACATTAAACCAAGGGGTGAAAGGGAAAGGAAACCATTCCACTACTACGCAATTATCAACCAAGTTCATACTGAGATTCCTCCTTTACAACAAGGAACTCCAATTACTCTGCTTTTCAAGGCTAGAGATCAGATTCAGACACACAATACTAATAACTACCTAACTGGCAGCTGCTATAGATGACTAAATATGTATTTGAAGCAGTATCTGTCTTAATTGAGAAAAAGAAAACAAGCAATATTGACACATACTGAAGTCCTAAATTCAGTCAAATAACCATCACACAACCACATAAGAATGGAAATCCTTCATTCACGACATATGATGCACATGAGATTCTTGTATGGACCTATGTAGGGCCCATGCCGACAACAGTTGGCAGTGCCTGGATTCACGGATGATAAACATTGCTACCAGATACTTTCATATCAAAGAACTTGTAAGACAGTCATGAGTTGCATACTACTAATCTATTCTATGACTGCCTATAGTAGAAAACTTTATAATTTCTTTTTATAAGAAGAAATTGATAAAGGGTGGGTACATAACAAATACAACAAAACCTTGCTAATTTTCACCTTGAATTGATTTCTGATCCAGTTCCAAACCATGCAATTGCTCTATGCACGTGACACAAACCGAGCCCCTCTGCATGTTTGTATAAAATATAAAGGCAACGTAAATATCAACACCAATAATGGATTCAAAATAAATATTTAGTTCAGAATTCTAATTTCAAAATGCAAAATATAAAAATAAAATCAAACAACGAAAATTAATACTACAAATGAACAACACCGAATACAAACGGGAACATAGAATGGAACAAAAACCAGGTTGACATCAACAACAATATTAACAGACAACTGAATTAGATAATAATTGTGCCAACACATACACTTGCCCCGAGTGTAAATTAACATAAATTAAAACCCTGTTTTGAAATTAAGAATAGCTTAATTGAAACCGTTTAAAAGGAGGATGGGTGCTTCACTAAAATGGCAATGCCTTTCAACAAAATTATTAAATAAAGAGTAAAACCCTAAGAGTGAAAGTTTTGACGCAGGGTAAAAAAACAATGAGGATCAATGGATGGATGATTGTATTTGTTTGCGTATAAAGGAAAGAAAAGAGTGCGGTAACAGACGTACTTCACCTGCTCTGAAATTTCGTAAACGAGACACTTGAGAATTGAAACGTTGAAGGTTGAATCCTCTTTTCCCAATTCAAGTATGTATCTGTATTCAGTACGCAGAAGGGGGATAAACGTAATCAATAGAATCGGCTAACGAAGTGCATTTTCAATTTTAATATTTTTATTTAAATTTTCAAAATAGGAACGGAATAATATATGTATATGTATAATATTAATAATAATATGAGGAAGGAAACATGTCAAGATGCTATTGGATGATTTCACAGTTTCCTCTACTGTGCGTCGTTTTGTGCGACTCTTCCACATTCTTTTAGCACCTATCATCAGCAGTATGAAAAACCAAGCATTGTCTTACCTTTTTTTTAATATTTTAATATTTCTGCGTTTTTACTTGAATTTTGTTAAGACAGTTAATGTCATTGGCATTTCTTTTTTCTCCAAAATTACAGGCCCCGGATAATTGAAACAAGCTAATAATAATTTTTGTTAAATATTATTTGAAAAATACTTTTTGTGATAACGGAACACTGATTCTTGTTCGTTTTTTTTTTATTTTAATACTGATGCTATGTTTTTGGTCAACACTGGTTCTTGTTCTTGTCCAACTCCTGAGTAGCCCAGATATGGGCCAACTCAACAGAAGCCCACCCACAAGCCTTACAATAGTTACTGGACTTTTAGAACTGGATCTAACAATTTTTTTTTGCACTCCCCCTCTTTCTTTCCTTTTTATACTCCTATTTATTTATTTATTTTTTTAAATTTTGTTCCTAAAACGTTTTCCGTACATCATAATCCTTATTCACAGTTATCATCATTGATCTAATAATATTTTAACTATTACATTTTTTTACTATATTTGTTGCTATGTTCCTATTATTGAATTTTTCAGTTTTTGAAACTATATTTGTTGAAGTTTTATGAAAATTATTTTTGGGATTATATTTCTAAAATCATATCAAATAGTTTTCAAAAACATAAATTATATACTCCGGAAGCAATTTTTATTCAATTCAAAAGAAAATAAAATATATCTTATTTTCTCAAAAATATTGTATACTTAAGCTTTATTTAGAAGTTTTGAAGTAAAGAAAAAGAAAGAGTTTGAAAGGTAAGAATAGAGGAGGAAGAAGAATTAATATAAAACTCTCCAAATTGGAAAAACTTAAAAACATGTGATTATTATTTAGAAATTCTTCCCTTTTCATCTAGAAACTCAATAAGGATAATTATCACACAAGTCTTCTACTTTTTCCCCCCTCTTAAAAAAAATTAACTCTCAAACAAACTCTTAAAATTTTCTCGATATATCAAAGTTTTTATTCCATTGAAATGTGTGCACAGGAGACGATAGATAGGTTAGGATTTTTTACAAAATACAGCACTGGGTCTGCGTGGCTATTCTGAGTGATGCATGTTAACACTCCAGCAACTGAACCTGGATAACTGTCATTGCGTTGAAACGCACATAACCTGGCGCTTTGGCACGCAACAGAGCGTGGAAACGCATAGCAGATGGCATAGCAACGCAAAGCTAAGCACATAGAAGAAGCATTAATTGGAGTGTTGTGCGTTGAAACGCACATCACTTGAAGCCTTGGCGCGCAAGAGTGCGTTGCAACTCATAGTGCAGGGCGTGGCAATGCGGAACTGAGCATCCAAGTAAAGTCTAGACTGTAACTTTGCGCGTGGCAACGCAGAACAGTTGCAGCCTTGGCGCTAAGCGCGTGGAAACACAAATCACATGCAGCCAAGGCGCGCATCTACGCACCTTTACTCCAGCCACTGTGTGTTTTGGCGCAGATTTTTGCAACTTTATAACTTCTTCTTCTTGCCAATTCTGGACGTTTGGAGCTTCTGTATCACTTTTAGAAGACTCTAGAACACCTGGGAACAACTAACTATCAGAATTTCAAGGGTCAAGTCGAAGAATTAGAGGAGCTCTATAAATAGGAATTAGAAACTTAGAAATAGGGTCTTTTTGTCAATTTTAGTTTTTGTATTCATTTTTGTAACCGTTTTAACTTCCAAGGGAAGTCAGAGGGAGAAGAGAGGAGCGGCTTTTGTTCTTCCTTGCTAGAGGAATCTGGAGAGAGGCAAAGTTATTGAGATGGCTCTCTGCTTTTCATCTTCTTTTCTTCTTACTTCTCTCCATTTCATTATAATGTGTTTCTAACTCTTTTGTTAGGGATTTATGGATCTAGAATTAATATATTGATTTCGTTTTGACTCTGAACTTTGAGTATTTGATTTGATTGAGGGATTAATTCTGTGTTTACTTGATCTTTGAATAGAAATTCAATTGATTAATCAAAGTGTAATCTTTACTAATAGAAATTGGGTTTGTTGCTTGGATTTGAATTAATTACCAAAACTCTTGACTTTCTTAGGGATAAGTGGTCTTAGTTTTGCAATCTTTTGGTTCTAATTCGTAATGCAATATTGAACTAAATTTGGCCTAAGGAATTAGGGAGATTTGGTTGAATATTAGGACCAATGAGTTGAGGAATCAATCTTTGGTTATTGTAAAGAGAAACCGATTGTCAATCAATCAAATGCTTGAATGTTCAGAGGCATAACTGAATTGATATTGATATTCTAGTGAAATAAATTCCTAACTTTCCTCCATTCGTGATTCATTCTAATAGTACAAGTTAACATTCTGTTTTTAACAATTTCTCATTTCCTTAATTTTGAATTTTACTTTCTTGCATATTGAAATCTGTTCAATGAATTGTTTGGTGCAAATGGTTATTATCTTATGAATTGGTGATTAAAAATAAGATCCTAGAGGATGATACTTGGGACTCGATCTGATTTCCACATTTTATAACTTGCTACAATTACCTAGTACACTTGTTAGTAGTGAAATTACACCATTTAAGTGTTGCGATAAAAAGCGTGTAACAAGTTTTTGGCGCCGTTGCTGGGAATTTTAATTTTTAACATCATTAGTAACTAGAGGATAGCTAGATTGTACCACTTACTTTTTGTTTTAATTCAGCTCTGTTTGATAGTTCAATTTCGTATTAAGTTTTGGTAGTTATTTTACATATATTAGCTGTTATTATTTTAATTTTTGTAATACTGCATTGTTGTTTTGTTTTTAAATGAATATAGGTTATCTTTTTTAGCTCTTGAAGAATATTTTGATTGTAATTTCTTTGCACTCCATTGCTCTGTGTTCTAATCAAATTTCAAGTATTAGTGTTTGTCTTTAGTTTTCCTTGTGTTATATGCGTGGAAAGAATAAAGACAAATCTATTCTTATATTTGATCTGGATATAGACAGAACTTTGAGAAGGATAAGGAACGAATTAAGGGCAGAGAGCTCAGCTAAAAAGAAGCAGAATTCACAGTTTACACCTTCTTCACCAAACTCAGCAGAAAAACAAGTTAATTCTCCAACTTCACCTGTAAATTCAGAAGCAAAGATTGCTGAACCACATAGACAAAGGACTTTAGGAGACTATGGAGTACCTAATATACATGGATACAGTTCTTCTATTGTCAGACCAACCATTCAAGCCAACCATTTTCAGATTAAACCTGCCTTACTTCACCTAGTTCAACAAGATCAATTTTCTGGTTTAATTTCAGATGATCCTAACTTGCATATTTCTAATTTTCTGCAGTTATGTGATACCATAAGGATCAATGGAGTTAGCAAAGATGCAATTAGATTAAGATTGTTTCCATTTTCCTTAAGGGACAAGGAAAAATGTTGGCTCCTGATAGCTCATATTTTGTTCCCACATTTTTAGTGTTATTGCATCCTTTGCATGACTTTTCATTCCCTTATTTCTTCCATTTAATATGTTTTTGCATTTATCTTGATAATTAGGAATTTTCGTAAATAATATACTTTTGTTCATATTTTCTATTCTGACCTTTGGTTACTAATTTGACCATAACTTTTTCTGTAGGTATTCTTTTTGGCTGATTCTTTTTGCATTGGATTCCTTTCCTCCGGGGCTTTAATTTGGATATCTGGATCGTGCTGTTTTGAGTCCGGAGCTATTTTCTACGAATTTTAGAAGTTTAGACTTTTAGTTGACTATTGTATAGTTTTTATTTTGCTTTTGTTTTGCAGTTCGTTTGTATTTAATTTCGGCCCAACTTTGGCCCACTCGGTTTTTGCTCTTTTAGGATTAGTATTTATAGAGATCAGGGGCTGATTGGGAAGGACTTTTGATTCATTTTTGTATTTTTCAGTTTGCAATACCTTTCCCGCTTCTAATAGAATCTCTCAATTTTTTTTACCATTCTTCTTCTTTTCTTGCATTTTTCCATTCTGAATTTGTATGCCTTTGCAATTACAACTGAAAGACGTTTAAGATTCTACAAAATCAAGATGATTTCTGCTATGTTCTCCCTTCAATTTCATTGCCAAACTCCAGATCGCATTTGTTCAAGACGTTTTTGATGCTCCGAGTTTGTTTTCCGATCTCACATTTTTACGATTGTATAGAAGCATTGTTCGATTGAATTGTGCATTGTTCTTAATCGTATAACAATCAATTGATTAATTGTTTGTTGTGCAGAAGAGATTTAAACAAATTCAATTTTCATTCAATCTTAGTTTTGGATTTTTGTGCTCTGGATTTCAATTTTAATTTTCGGTTCCAATTCTGTGCAATTTCATTTTCTGCATTTTAATTCTCTGCGATTTCATTCTCTGTAATTTCATTTTCTGCATTTTAATTTTGTAATTTAGTTTTTGCATTTAAACCCCCAAACATACAACCTTTCATGCATGATTGAGATTAGAGCAATGTACAATTGCATCCTTGTGAGATATGACCTAGGTTGCTCCCTGAACTGCATGTTTTTGTGAGGAATTTAGTAGTTTTTGATACCACTGCGACATGGCTATCAAAATTGGCGCCGTTGCCGGGGATGCATTTCGTATTGTTTTGACTCAATGGTGCATTGTGTTTTCTGTATTCTGTGTTTGTGTAGTTCAATTGTGAATTTTGTAAATTCTGTTTTCTGAATTCTGTAATTGTGTATTGTAGTGTCCTGTATCCAGTATAGTTCGTATGCATTTGATTATGTTATCCAATTGTAGTTCTGTGATTTGTGATTCATGAATTGTTCAGTTGCATATGATATGGTGTGTTCTGTTCTGTTCTGTTATGATTCATGTTGCTTGTGTTTGTATTGCATGATATATAGGTGTTGTACTTCAATTCGTGTTTGAGTGTGTGTGACTAGGTTCAATAGATCTGTGATAGCATTTTGTGTAAGTTGCAGTTTAGTTTACACATGCTGAAAATAGAGGACTAGTAGAAACCAGTTTAGTGTATGCATGGTGAATTGCTGACTTGCACTATTCCTGCACTATTCATCCACTATTCACTGATTTTAAAAAATTCCAAAAAAATAGTAAATGGTCAAATTTTGGCCTGAATTTTTGTGTCCACATTACATTTAGTGTATATTAGTGTGTAGAGTTGGTAGAATTGAAAAATCATTTGTAGAGAAAGAGATACACCTTGGTGGTGAAGAAAAATTTTGTGCAACTTAAAAGTGTCATAACTTTTGCTAGGAGTGTCAGAATTTTTTCCACGACACATGACTTAAAAGTGTCATAACTTAAAAGAGACACATGATTTTTTCCACTACTCACTGCAACCCGCTTTGCCGGTTGAGGTTTCCCCAATTTTCAAAAATCGCATGTTTTCTAAAAGTTTTTTATTTTTAAGCATTTATTGACCTATTTTTCTTGACTTTAGGCTTCTAGTTTCCATGTCAGATCAATTCCAAAAATTCTGAAAATTTTTGTGGTGTTATCCTATACCATTTGGGGATTTATCACGGTCTCACTTCAACCATTGCTTGTGTTTTGATGGTACTTGCTTTGTTAACTAATTCTGTGCACTCAGGATTTGTGTGTTGTTCCTTGTGACCCTAACCTTGTATGACTAGATCTAATCCAGGCATACTACATTCCTTTGACCCTGAGATAGAGAGGACAAGATTGAAGATTTTGAAATTGAGGAAAGAGCACAACACTACTCATAGTCAGTTTACTTCACAAACAAGCAACATGGCAAACAACCAAGAGAGAACCTTGAAGGAGCTTGCTGCCCCTAATGTTGGACATCAACCTTTATGCATTCAGATACCACAATTACAGGAGGGAGTAGCAAGTTATGAATTGAAGTCTGGTCTTATTCATTTACTTCCTAAATTTCATGGTCTTGTAGGAGAAGATCCACACAAGCATTTGATGGAATTCCATGTGGTGTGTTCTACCATGCGACCAGTGGATGTGCCAGAGGACTTCGTCAAGATGAAGGCATTTCCATTTTCATTATGTGACATAGCCAAGGACTGGTTGTACCTGCAGCCAACACCAATTTGTACATGGAGCGACATGAAGAGGCGATTTTTAGAAAAATTCTTCCCTGCGTCTAGAACAGCAGCAATAAGGAAGGAGATTAGTGGCATTAGACAGCTGCAAGGAGAGAGTTTATATGAGTACTGGGAGAGGTTCAACAAGCTGTGTTCGACCTGCCCAAACCATCAGATAAATGAGCAGCTTTTGATTCAATATTTCTATGAAGGATTGATGCCTATGGAGCGCAGCATGATTGATGCAGCCAGTGGAGGTGCTCTGATGGACAAGACTCCAGCAGCTGCAAGATATTTGATCTCCAACATGGCAGAAAATTCTCAGCAATTTAGTTCCAGAAATCTTACCACTAGAGCTGTACATGAGGCATCCACAAGCAGCGTTGCTGTAGTCGATAACCAAAGGCTGGAAAACAAGCTTACAGAACTGACTTCTTTGGTGAGGCAATTAGCCATGGGCCAGGCAATTCCACAGATCCAGCAGACGTGTGGCATTTGTGCAGGTGACCATTATACTAATTCTTGCCCTCAGCTACAGGAGACAGCCCAACCTTCTCATTTGGTAGCAGGCTTACACCTTCCTCACCAGAGTCATCAGCAACAACCTCAGCAATATAACCCTTTCTCCCCTACATACAATCCAGGGTGGAGAAGTCATCCCAATCTGAGGTATGGTCCACCAGCACCACAGCAACAGCAGAAATATGTGTACCAGCAGCAGTCTGCACACCCTTCATACCACCAGCCACAACATCACCCTGTGTAGCAGCAGCAACCAAAGTACCTGCCTCTTCCTATGAGACAACAACAACAGCCTGCACAGCAGAATCAGGCTCAACAACAACCTCTTCCACAGCCTAGCAGTATTGGACCTTCTTTGGAGGAGTTGATGAGTCAAATGGCCACTCAAAGTCTGCAGTTTCAGCAGAACGTTTCAGCCACCATTCAGGACTTACAGACCCAAATTGGGCAGCTGGCAACTTCAGTGAATAATTTACAACAGCAAGGTTCTGCAGCACTTTCTTCGCAGCCTGTAGTTAATCCGAAAGGCCAGTAAAAGTAGTGGAAGTGAAGAGGGAGTCCGAGATAATTTACCACATCACCAGATTCCCCTTCCTTTCCCAACCAGAGTTCCTCCACAAAAGAAAATAGAAATGGACCAAGAGTTGCTGGATACCTTCAAGAAGGTGGAGATATTAATATTCCTCTGCTGGATGCCATCAAACAGATTCCTCGATATGCGAAATTCTTGAAGGAGCTTTGTACTTATAAGAGGAACTTAAAGAAGAGGAATGTCCAGCTAGTTTCATCCTTGTCCCAGTCAAGCCTTCCACAGAAATGTGGTGATCCAGGAACTTTCTCCATTCCTTGCACAATTGGAGAGTCCTCTTTTGCTAGTGCCTTGCTGGATTTGGGAGCTTCTATCAATGTTATGCCTTCAGCCGTATATAAGATGTTGCGTTTGGGAGACTTGAAACCAACCAGCGTGATTATCCAATTAGCAAACCGAAGCACAGCTCAGCCTTTAGGAGTGCTCGAAGACGTGTTGGTAAAAGTTAACCAACTGATTTTTCCGGCTGATTTTTACATTCTTGATATGCAGGATGAGAATTCGACCTTGATTCTGGGTAGACCATTCTTGATGACTGCGAAGACAAAGATTGATGTCCATACTGGCACACTGTCCATGGAGTTTGGAGATGACACAGTTCATTTCAATATCTTTGATGCCATGAGACATCCGGCTGAGAGCCATTCGATACTTTCTGACTGTTCTGATTTTTCTGTTTTTCTTATTAATGTAGTAGATAGAAATTTTGATTTGTATTTTGATACAGTTCATGTAATTGATTCTGATTTTGATTCTGCTTTTGATTCTAGTATCAATATTGCTGTAGATTCATATTTTGACTTGTCTCAGTTTTCAGACTTAGATTTAGATTTAGATGCTTTACCAGGATGCACCTGTGATAGTGGCATTTGTTCCATTTGTGCTAAGATTAATACTGCCATATCTTCTGCTGTTTTGCCTTCCATTGCAGGTGCAGATCCAGATTCTGTGATACCCATCGCTGCTACAGCCCCACAGTCTCCATTATCAGTTATAGAGCAGCAGCCAAGTTCATTGGAGTTGAGCCCTCTGCCAAATCACCTTAAATATGCTTATCTGGATGTAGAGCAGCAGAGGTTTCCGGTAATTATATCCAGCAGCCTTCTGGAGGATCAAGAAGAGAAGTTGGTACAAGTCCTGAAGGTGCACAAGAAAGCCATCGGTTGGAGCTTGAGTGACATTCCTGGGATCAGTCCAGCTGTATGCATGCACAGGATTCACTTGGAGGATGAGTCTAGGCTAGTGAGGCAGCCCCAAAGAAGACTCAATCCTACCATTCTGGATGTAGTGAAGAAGGAGGTGACCAAGCTACTGATGGCTGGGATCATCTACCCCATTTCTGACAGTACATGGGTGTCACCTGTCCAAGTGGTACCTAAGAAGTCTGGGATTACTGTGGTGCAGAACCAGGATAATGAGATGGTTGCCACCAGAGTCGCCAACAAATGGAGAGTGTGTATTGACTATAGGCGACTCAACCAGGCTACTAGAAAGGACCATTTCCCTCTCCCATTCATTGATCAGGTCATTGAGAGGTTAGCAGGTAAATCCCATTATTGTTTCCTGGATGGTTTCTCTGGCTACATGCAGATTCATATTGCTCCTGAGGACCAGCACAAGACCACTTTCACCTGTCCTTTTGGCACTTTTGCCTATAAAAGGATGCCATTCGGCCTATGCAATGCACCTACCACTTTTCAAAGGTGTATGTTAAGTGTTTTTTCTGATTTAATTGATAATTGCATGGAGGTGTTTATGGATGATTTTACTGTTTACGGTTCTTCATTTAATTCATGTCTGCATAGCTTAACCAGGGTGTTAGCGAGATGTGTTGAAACTAACCTCGTGTTAAATTATGAGAAATGCCATTTTATGGTAAAAGAAGGTGTAGTTTTAGGACATCTTATTTCTGAGAAGGGAATACAGGTCGATAAGGCAAAAATTGATGTTATTTCCTCTCTATCTCACCCCGCATCTGTTCGGGAGGTGCGTTCTTTCTTTGGACATGCAGGTTTTTACAGGCGATTTATCAGAGATTTCAATACCATTGCACTGCCGCTGTCCAGTCTTCTGTAGAAAGACGTACCATTCTTATTCTCTGATTCGTGTAAGGAGGGTTTTGAGGAGTTGAGGAGGAGACTCACCACAGCACCTATCATGCAGCCACCAGATTGGGAGCTCCCCTTTGAGTTGATGTGTGACGCCTCTGACTATGCACTTGGAGCTGTTCTATCTCAGAGAGTCGGTAAATTTCCTCATGTTATTGCCTATGCCTCTAGAACTCTCGATGCAGCCCAAATAAATTATACCACCACTGAGAAAGAACTCCTGGCTATAGTGTTCGCATTAGATAAATTTCGTTCTTATTTGCTTGGTTCCAAGATAACTGTCTTTACAGATCATGCTGCACTGAAATTCCTACTGAAGAAGCCAGATGCAAAACCTAGATTGATTAGATGGATGCTTCTTCTGCAGGAGTTTGATATTGAGATAAAAGACAAGAGTGGTGTTCTGAATCAGGTTGCTGATCATTTGAGTCGTATTGAAGGGACTATAGACCCTTTACCTATTCATGATAGTTTTCCTGATGATTATTTATTTGCTCTGAACTCAATAGACTCTATTCCCTGGTTTGCTGATATTGTGAATTATTTGGTTACTTCTGTTGTACCTCCTGATGCATCTAGATCCCAGATTGATCAATTGAAAAGTAATGCTAAATATTATGTCTGGGATGATCCATATTTGTGGAAATTTTGTAATGATTAGGTCATCCGTCGATGTGTTCCTGACCACGAATTTCAGGACATTCTGTATTTTTGTCATGGCACATCTGTAGGTGGCCATTTTGGACCGCAGAGGACAACCAGGAGAGCTTTGGACAGCGGATTCTATTGGCCTACCATTTTCTGAGATGCAGCCAGATTTTCTGAGAGCTGTGAGATATGCCAGAAGGCGGGAGGGACTATTACTAGGAGACATGAGATGCCTCAGCAGCCCATTATTTTCTGTGAGATCTTTTATGTTTGGGGCATCAATTTTATGGGTCCTTTTCCTGTTTCTGCTGGATACTCTTATATATTACTTCCTGTTGACTATGTGTCTTGATGGGTGGAGGCAAAGGCCACTAGAACTAATGATTCTAAAGTTGTTTCGGATTTTCTCCGTACTCATATTTTTTGCAGGTTCGGTGTACCTAAGGCTGTCATCAGTGACCAGGGAAGTCATTTATGTAACAGGACCATTGCAGCCTTGTTCCAGAAGTTTGGGGTCACACACAGAGTTGCTACACCATATCATCCCCAAACTAATGGGTAAGCTGAGGTATTCAACAGGGAAGTCAAGCACCTGTTGCAGAAATTAGTGCACCCGAATAGGAAAGATTGGAGTAAGTTTCTGGATGATGCTCTCTGGGCTCAGAGGACAGCTTATCGGACACCATTAGGCATGTCTCTATTTCGAGTGGTGTTTGGTAAAGCATGCCACCTTCCGGTGGAAATTGAGCATCGATCATATTGGGCTGTGAAGAGTTGTAACATAGCACTTGAGCATGCTGGAATTGAAAGGAAGCTCCAGCTTCAGGAGCTTGATGAAATACGCCTCCAAGCCTATGAGAATTCTAGATTGTATAAAGAGAAAGTTAGGAGATTTCATGATACACATATTCTGAGGAAAGAGTTCTCTGTAGGCCAGAAAGTGTTATTGTTTAACTCTCGATTGAAATTGATTGCAGGTAAGCTTCGGTCTAGATAGGATGGACCTTTTGTGATTACTCATGTTTTTCCCCATGGTACAGTTGAGATTCAGGATGAAGCTACCAGCAGGACTTTTAAAGTCAATGGTCATTAGCTGAAATTATTCCAGGAGAGTAGACCAGTGGAGCCGGCTCAGAACATAGTTGATCTATCCTTAGTGGAGCCTACTTTGATGGAGGATGTGTCTTCTTAGGCACTTGGAGTTTGGAGCATTGTGTTCTTTGATCTTTGTTTCTTTTCCTTATAGTTTCCTTTACTTTCTCATATATAGTTTTCATTCTATTCTTAGATTGTTTGCATGTTTTGTATTTTATATTTCCTTTTCCCACATTGTGGACAATGTGTGTTTTAAGTGTGGGGGGAGGGAGTAGTCCTTATGTTGTTAGCAATCTACACTAGCAAGTGCACTAGGATTGCAGCAAGTGATGAGTAAATTTAAGATCCAAATATCGTCTCCACAGGGAATTTAGATTCAAGTATCACTTCATAGAATTATAACCATTTAAGCTTTTTCAAAATTGTAAGGAGAGTGGTAACATCTAATAACAGCAAACTGGAACAATTAAAAGTAAAATGAACTTGCAGAAAACAAAACAATGAACACACAGTTATGTGATAACAGAGGGAGAAACCATAGCTAGGGAATTGCTTCACCAAAACTTCAATGTTTAATCAATAAAGTTCTGAATTAACAAGTAATTGGAAAGAATGACAATCAGTTTCACATTATACTATTCAGAGGTTAATTCCTTAACTCAATGAACCTAACATTCAATTAAACCATTCTAATTCCTTAGATCTAATTCAATTCAATGTTGCTTTAAGTGT